AATATGTACAATGTACATAGACATGAGCCACCTGTGCCTGGCCTGAATGGAATGTTCATTCTGCCTAGTGATGGGACCTGTTATGAGACTGCTCTTGTTGTTGCTATGCCTCTGCAACAGCTTTTCTTTCTACCTACCTGGTACTTCTGATTTCCCAACAAATCTGTGAGCCCTTAGTATTCTTATGATAAAGCCTATTTTCCTTAAGTAAGTTAGAGCTGATGTATTAATCAGCTCAGGCTGCCATAACAAAATACCACAGATTGAGTGGCTTAAACAACAGAAATTTATTTTATCACAGTTTTGGAGGCTGGAAGTCTGAGATCAAGTTGTCGGCATGGTCAGGTTTAGGTGAGGGCTCTTTTCCTGGCTCGCAGATGGCAGCCTTCTGGTTGTGCCTTCACAAGGCAAAGAGAGACTCCTTCTTTCTCTTCCTCTTCCTCTAAGGCCACAGTTCTACAGAACTAAAGGCACTATCATAAAACCTTATTTAACCTTAATTATTTCCTGCAGACCTTGTCTCCCAAGATGAATAGTCATATTAAATGTATGGATTTTGGAAGGACACAATTCTGTACATAGCAGCTGGTTCCTGTAGCTCCCAGCCAACCTACCCAAACCAATACAGATAGAAGTCTATTTTTTTCCCTGAAGCCTCAACTATTCTAGCTCTAACCCTCTTTGTTCCCTTTACTAATGTTTTCTCTCTTTCTTATTTATTTGTTTATTTGAGACAAGGTCTCACTCTGTCACCCAGGTTAGAGTGCAGTGGCATGATCACAGCTCACTGCTACCCCACACTTCTTGGCTTAAGTGATCCTCCTGCCTCAGCCTCCCCAGGATCTAGAACCACATGTCAAGCTAATTTTTTTATTCTTTTCAGAGACAGTATCTCACTATGTTGCTCAGGCAGGTCTCAAATTCCTAACTTAGGTGATCCTCCTGCCTTGGTCTCCCAAAGTGTTAAAATTACTGGCATGAGCCCCTATGCCTGGCCTAAATTTCTTTACTTTAAATTCTCTTAATTAAATCATGGTTCCTAATATACATTTTATTCTTCATTTTTGTTATGTAGTGTTATAGCCTTAAAGATGATCTATTTCAGTAGTTATCAAACTTGGTGGCTTATTAGGCCCATAAGAACATTTTTTAACCTGTTTCCCATGCTCCACTACAGACCAATGATGTCAAAACCTCTCAGACTATGCCAGATAATATTATTTTTTTTATATACTCCCGTTTCATGTTTATCAGTTTTGTATTCCAACGTGATTATAAACTATACTGATAGAAACTTCTGTATTTACTTAGCAATAATAACAGTTATACAGCATGGATGCATATTTAGTTACCAGTTAACAAGATCCTTTATGTAGTGGTCCTTAATCCTAATCACATATCAATCATTTCAGACAAGGTGGTTTGGAAAAAGCCTGCACCTCCCTCATCCCCCTGTCTGATGGGTCAGTATCAGGTGAGGCCTGAACTTTATGTGCAGACATAGTTGAGAATCACCAGTAACTTATTTCCTGTTTAAATGGATAAGTAAGTGAGCACAACCTGTTATAACATATCAACCTCATTTATCTCTAAAGATGAAAAACACTGCCTGGACAAATTTCTTCACCAACTCACCCAGATTACGTGGGCCTAAGAGAGTCTGCAGAAAGACTGAATAGTGAATTCTGTTGCCAGATGCACCAATGGACAATTAATCTGCCAACATACTGAGGATCCCTACAGAATAAAGTGTCACATCAACTCTAAAACCAGACACGTAAACACAAATTATCACCAATATGATAAAATGGAAAAGTTTTTTGGTACTCTGCTTTCCACCACCCTCTGCATTTCCAGAGTTTTAAAAGTGAAGTCCAGTTAGTGTATTGGCTCATTTGATTAATATATTGATTCCGCTGATATATTTCTGCATTTCCTAATGCAGGAGCCACCTCAAGTTGTTTGTAGCCAAGCAACTACACATCCATTGTGGACCCAGTTTCTCTCCCCCACTTTCCACCTCTTACTCCCAGTGAATATGCCTATTTCATTTGGGGGCAAATGTTACATGCTTTCTAAATACATAAGTTTTACATCTTAGAAAACAAAGACCAGAAGGAAGCACACCCATAATAAAGAAAAGTAAGTTAGGTTTATTTTTCTTGCTCCAGCAGGTAAGACTGCACCCTTGAGTAACTATAGGACCATTCATTAAGTGGAACTGGGAGGGGCTTTTTATAGAATTTGGACTTGAACTGATGATCCTAAGGAGGATTTGAGGAAGGAGGAACTAGTGCTACCTTAGATGTTGTCAAGAAATAGGGTCAGCTCAGTGAAAGGGCACCGCATTAGTGTTTATCTAGAACATGAGAGGATTGGCTGCGTGCAGTGGCTCATACGTAATCCTAGCACATTGAGAGCCTGAGCCAGGAGGGTGGCTTGACTCCAGGAAGTCAAGGGAACCTAGGCAACATGGTGAGACCACCATCCCTACACAAAGTTTACACATTAGCCAGGTATGATGGCATAGGCCTGTACTCCTAGCTATTCAGGAGACTGAGGCAGGAGGATTGCTTGAACCCAGAAATCCAAGGTTACATTGAGCTATGATGGGGCCTCTAAATTCTAGCTAGGGCTACAGAGTGAGACACTGTTTCTTTCTTTATATATATATATACATATATATATATATTTTTTTTCTTTAAAGAGAGGATTAGAACAGATACAGATTCGAGCTATCTTTGGTAAAAGAGCAATAGTGCCTTCTGTTAGATATGAGAAAAAGATGTTTAATTTTCTTTATGGTTTTGTAAGGACCTTCTCTGTCTCGTTCCAAACACGGTCACAGAAAGGGTTTGTATGGATAATGTTTATGTTCTGTGAGTGTCGATTAAGTTCAGTTGGGCTTATCATGGCCTGGTTGAATGAAGGCCTGCTTTTGACTTTCTCATGAGTTAAAAATGAAAAGGTCTGGGCGGTGCCTGTGGCTCAAAGGAGTAGGGAGCTGGCCCCATATGCTGGAGGTGGCGGGTTCAAACCCAGCCCCAGCCAAAAACTGCAACAAAGAAAAGAAAAGGCCTAAACCCCTAAAAGGTTGGTTATCAAGGACAAGCTTCCTTTGACCCCTACCCAGGCACAGTGTAGACTGGTGATTTTCCCCATCATGTATCAGACACCAGGAATATAAATTGCTTTATTACCCTTCACTAGCCTGCATATTTATAGCAATTCAGAGAGGAAATAAATGGGCTGACTTTAGCAACCTGTTCAAGTGTTTTAGGCATTTTGAGATATTAAAACACAGACACCATTATCCCAGAGACAAACTATCTGTTTTTCTGGGTTCTATTCTTTTTAGACTTCTGAAGATTGATTTATGTAGCATGTGCCCTTACTGTTCTTTTGTGCATTAATACACAATTCCTTGACATCTAGAAATTCAGGTGCTACATGACAAACGAGTCTGCCTCATTCCTCTGCTAATAAGTTTTTCACTTTTACCCATCCCACATTCCTTATACAATCCCCAACGGCAAGAAAACTATTTGAAAGCAATAAATCTTGGGGCTTACGTTATGTTTCCCATTACAGACACCTTCACTGGAATTCTTCCAATATTCTTATAAGTAAGAAAACCATAATGCCCTTGTTTCCACTTTGAAGCAGCAAAAATGTACTAGAGTTTGTCTATATAGATTTGAACTTGAACTGATGATGGTAACATCCATAGATCACTAGTATAAGAAATTACCGGAAGCCTTGATAATAATCTATATTTTAAATTGTATCCAAAACTATAAAAACAGAATCTTTGAGAGTAGGGGAGGGCATTGATCTGCTGGGGACACTCATGTGCATTAAACTTAATTGGTTTTTTATCTCCTACATCGGAACACAGATTGATGTGTGTTACTGTGTGTGTATGGGTATGAATAAAGACTTGACTATAAGCAATTTGACTCCAGATGTCGCCCTCACCTAGAAAAGTGGCTGACACTTGGTTTATACTCAGTAGTTACTGGTTAAGTAAACTATAGCTGGGCAGAAAAACACGGGGCGTGTTATATATAAACAAGCACGGGTGAGTAAGGAGGAAGTATAAATCACCAACTGAGCTCTCCTTTTTTTGTTACCTGTACTTTCCCATGAGCCTTAAGCCAAGACTAGTGCCTGGAGATGGGTAGATTCCGAAAGCCTAGGCAGAGATACCGATTTATTTTAACCTCTGGGGTTAAAAAGGAGGGTGGGTGGGGCTGGGAGTTGAACGAAAAGAAACAAACACAGTTTTAAATCCTGAAGAAGTTCAGGTAGCAGTTTGTTTTTGTTTGGTTTGCTTCTGCTCTATTGCTTGTTTTAAACCAGAGACCACTAAGCCCCTACCTCAGACAGGCATTGATTAGAACCAGAGGGA